GTATGCTGGTCCTTTTTTCCTCCGTGTCAAATTTTTTGATGAACACCTTTAGTGAGTTTTTAATTTTCAGCTCAAGTGTCTTCTCACTGATGTTATCATTTTTCCCAGACCCCATTTTGCTGATTTTGCTGATTTCTTTGTCCATGGTTTGCTTTCCCTCAGTGAACATATTTAAGACAATAGACAGTTAACATCTCTGAGGAATAACTATAATGTCTGTGTTTCCTTAGGGTACTTTCTGTCAAATCTTTTTCTTTCCTTTTTTTTAAAAAAGATGACCAGTAAGGGGATCTTAACCCTTGACTTGGTGTTGTCAGCACCACGCTCGCCCAGTGAGCAAACCGGCCATCCCTATATGGGATCCGAACCCGTGGCCTTGGTGTTATCAGCACCGCACTCTCCCGAGTGAGCCACAGGCCGGCCCATTTTTCTTTCCTTTTTAAAAAATTTTTTAATCTTATTTTTTATTGTTTGAGAATTAGACATTTTAAGCATGATGTTGTGGTAAATCTGGAAATTTTCAAATTCTTTCACTCCTCAGGGATTGCTGAATCTTGTTTGTTGAGGGGTGAAACCATTCGTTTGTGACTTTCTCAAACTATTTTTGCAAGATTTGTGTTCCTTATTGTGTGTGGTCACTGATGTTTCTTATGTTGTCTTTATGGTTGGCCAGTGAGCTGATAAAGATTTCTTTAAATATTTGGCCCCAAAAAGGAGAAAGGAAAACAAACAAACACTGTCTCTATAAATCCCTTGGAAGCTGCTTAGACCCAAGGGGGTTGAAGCAGTGGTGGCCAGCCTTTCTGCTGGCCCCTCAGTAATCAAAAACAGCAAGCAGCGATCAGAATGTACAATTGGATATTTGGAAGGCTAGGTCCTTACTTCCTTCCTTGGCTCCAGCAAGCCAAACTAGAAATGTAGGAGGTTGTCTGCAGGGTACTTCTTGTAGCTATTGGGATATAGCTGCTACTATAGGAAAGATTGAAATTCACCAACCTCTTTTACTATACACCAGAGTTCCAAAGTAGTTACTTCAGGTAGTTCCTCCTACCAGTTGTATCTTGAGATGCTATGTTCTTGGCTTTTTTTTTTTCTTTTTAAAACATATTGGATACCTGAAGTGCAAAAACATCATGTGCATATTTTTTGCAGTCACTTAGAAAGTTTGAGGGATGGGAATTTTAACTCAGAAAGTCTACTCTAAAACCCATGTCTTTTTGACTAATTCAGAAACTCTGGAAAGAGTTTCAGATTGCTGTCAGTCTGGTTAAGACTTTGGTCATATTCTGTACAATTTAAAAACGCAAAGATCCCCTTTCCCACCATCTAGGGGAACCTGAATTGGAGCATATGCCTTGCTATTGAGGCAACTGTCAGACAGGTTTCAGTTTTATCCCTGTGTGAGTGTTAGTAATACTCAGTTAGTAGAAAAAAAGTATCCTAAATTGAGGTACCAGTGGGAAAGCTATATGTTTTTACACCCATATAAAAACAGAGACAATATCACATTCCCACTCATAGCAGAGAAAGCTGTAAGTGGATTCAGTGTCATTGCCCCAACATTATTTTTTGCTTGTATAAATGTAATTGTATGTTTATATTAAATATTACATATTTGTATGTCACATAATTATGCTTGGTATTTAAATATTTAATTTTTTTTTTTTGCATCGTGTATATAATGCTTATTTACAACTGTGTTTTCACTATGTTAGGAAGCTTTTCTTGTTGTCCATGTTTGGCTCTAGTGTTTTAATTTACTGTATTTAGGCTAAATTGATTTCCTTTTAACATGTCTTACTGTATTTTTTTTTAGTTCCCTTGTATTGTTTCTTACTATTGACCTATTTATTCATGTTATGTTTGTCATTTTAAATTGTCGTCCTTGAAAATGTTATATGCAAATTATATGCTATATTTAAATTGGGGTTTTCTTCCTCTACTAAAATTTTGATTCTCTATTGACTTAGCCAAGAAGTGTATATTCTGAACTAGTGATAGAAATCATGAAAACCTATTTGACAGAAAGTAGACAGATGGAAGACTAATAACAACATCTGCATCAAGGAGTTGGGTAAATAGGAGACTTAATTACCACATAAATTGACTGTATCAATTAGATAAGTTAAGAGGGGCTTAAGGCTTGATTATTTTAGCATTACAGAAAATTATTTGTTTCTTTTGGTGAAACCATTGTTGTTCATGTGTGTAGATAATTTATAATATATAGGAATTTTACCTTAACTTAAAGTGGTACATTTTATAGGATTGTGCTTTAATGTTTTTTATGGCAGAGTTTTTATTTTACTGTAGTGTAGTTTTTTCTAATTCAAATGTACTAGAATATACCATTTCATGGAAAAAACGTTTACAAGTATTATTATTTTGATTCATAAGAAAAAACTTGAGTAGCTACTATCATTGTTTTCATTTTATTGCAGTGAAAACAAAGGGCCATAGGATAAATAGCTTGCCCAAGGTTATGAAGAATAAAAATTGGTAGAACCAGGATTTAGACTCTTATCTGTCTATCTGACTCCACGGCATATGCTATTAGTGGCAAAGCCATGTCTTCTAGGAGAATTGTTCTCAAAGCTCAGTCCACAGGCATATGGGAGTTGCCGAAACCCTTTCAAAGGTCCACAGGGTCTAAACCTTTTTTATAATGATGTCAAAGCATTATTTGCCTTTTTATTTTATTAATATTTGTACTGATAGTTCTAAAACAATGGTGGCCATATTGCTGCCTCCTTAGCATAGATCAGGGCGGTTGCACCAAACTATACTAGCAGCAGTTGTACTCATTGATGCTATACACTAGCTGTTTTAAAAGTTAAAAAGAAGCTAATTTTACTTAAGAATGTCCTTGACGAGTGGTAAAAGTTATTAATTTTGTTAAATCTTGACCCCTGAGGCACATCTTCTTAACATTCTGTCTGATTAACTGGAAGTACACATAAAATATTTACACTATATACCAATGTACCCTGTTGTCTCAAAGAAGAGCATTTGTGTCATTGTGTGAGTTGTGAGCTGAACTAAGCACTTGGTTTCATAAAACACCATTTTTACTGGAAACAATGACTGATAAACAGATTATAGTTGTGTAGACTCAGGTATTTGGCAGACAAAGTGAGCCTGTCAATTCAAGAAGTGGTGACAGGATTTTTTTTTTTAAACTGATACAATTTAAGCTGTCAAGAGAAAATTAGAATTTTAGAAAACTTGATTCTGCCCCCATGAGCTTAAGAGCCACCAAGTAGTTAAAGGCTTTTCTGTTAAGATGGGTGGTGATATTAGTGAATGTGGTGTTTTAAAATAGTATAATGAAACATGTCAACATTTGGAATATCTGTGTAAGTCAGGGCGCCATTATTTTACCAAGGACCAATGCATGATGTTAACAAAATCCCATCAAAGTGGAAGATGGGTTTTTACGTAACATAGTACGAAAGGCTCATTGATGTGGTTTCAGATTCTGTATTGCAGATAAATTTCAAGAAACTACCACTTGTAAAGTTTTGATGTAGTATCAAAGAAAACTATCTACAATTATTTGAGAAGCCTATTTAAAACACATCTTTTTTGCCAACCATTTATCTGTGTGAAGCCAGATTTTCTTTATATATTTCAAGTTAAACAATATATGGTAATGGATTGAATGTAAAGCAGATCTAACAATCTTCAATTAACCCAGACAAACATTAAAGAGATTTGAAAAATGTAAAATAGTGCTACTGTTCTCACTAATTGTTTTTGTCTTGGAAAATATAGTTTTTCATAGAAATGTTAGTAATTTTCAAATGGCTTATTATTGTTACATAAAATGTATTAATAAATAAAGTTTCTTCATTTTCATTTGTAATATGGCAAATATTTATGTATATAACCCATGTAAACAAATGCTCTTCAGGGTCCATTTTTTTTTAAGAGTGTAAAAGTGTTTGAAGAACAAAAATGAATTGCTGCTCTAGGAAATATATTAAGGAAGTAAAGTATGTGAGAGGAAAGATAAATTGAAACTGCGTATTTCTGAAAGTACATTTAGTGGTTCTGTACTTGGTAGACAGAGAAGCAGTTTCTTTGGTATCTGTAGTTAGTTCAGATATCAAACACTCATTTTGAATTCAGTCTGTCTTTCTCAAAATATTTATAGATAGGCATTTATGTGTACACTATTGCTATTATTTTTTGATGTTAACATGACGCTAATATGACCATTTGCTTGAGGATTACAGACCTTTATATGCTATACTAAAAGATTTCCAGTATGAAAAAGTTTTACTTGTTGACCACCTACTTAATTACCTTAATCTCTTCCTTATTAATTGGACTCTTAGTGGGGTCTGCGGGGTTACTTCACTGATGAGAATTTGATATATCTGCCATTTGGGGGACCTGTGGATATTTCATTTAGTTAAGTGTAAATGTTAATGAATGCAGTTCTATTCTAGGCCTACTTACAGAGTTTCGTGAGTAGATACTAAAGGTAAAAATATCTAAATGTGTGTTTTTCTTCTAATGTCTGTACAGGATGACGTAGCTTTGCCAAAGGCTTAGAAGCTAAGCAGAAAATGAGCTTAACATCCTGGTTTTTGGTGAGCAGTGGAGGCACTCGCCATAGGCTGCCACGAGAAATGATTTTTGTTGGAAGAGATGACTGTGAGCTCATGTTGCAGGTAATTGTGTCAGCCTTCTCTGCATGCATCTACACAGAATGTGAAATTAGTATAAAATAGTTTTCTCCTCCTTTAGAGAACAATATTTAGACTTGAACTTTCTGGCTCTCCCTCTTTCAGCTCTAACCATCAGTTTAATTAATTTTTCATCCTTTTGAATCATCTAAAAATAAGTTCTAGGTCATGGGGATTATATTTTGAAAAGTGAAGGCTTAGAAGTGAGGGGTTTATTCATAAGTAGGAAGTTTCTCATTATGTACTTTTAATATAAGACTTATGAATAATTTATAAAATTAGCATAACATGTAATAAAGCTGAATTTTAATCGTGGATATTTAAGTGATATTGAAATTAGTTTTATTGCTTCTTTTAGAGATGTTCATTATGATGCCTACTAGTAATTTGAGCATAATTAAAGATTGTTGGTATTTTTAAAAATAAATTTTATTGTGTACATTTAAGGTATACAACATGATGTTAATGGGTTTACATATACATAGTAAAAACATTACATAATGAGCCATATTAACATATCCATGATCTCACATAGTTACATATGTTTTTCATTTTTGTGGGAAGTGCAGTTAAAATCTCATTTAGCGTGAATCCCACGTACAGTACAATTTTATTACCTATAATCCTCATATTGTACATTAGGTCTCTAGACTTGTTCATCCTGCATATCTGGTACTTTGTATCGTCTGACCTACATCTCCCCATTTCTGCCCTGCCCCTGGTAACCACTGTATATTTGAGTTTTGGGGGGTTTTTTTTTGGATTGCAATATGAGGGTACTTCAGAAAGTTCATGGAGCGAGTCTTATTATCTTTTAACTCTGTTTTTCCACGAACTTTTGGAAATACCCTCATACAGTAAATATTTGTCTTTCTGTGTCTGGCTTATTTCATTTAGCATAATGTCCTACAGGCTTATCCATGTCGTGGCAAATGGCAAAATCTTCTTGTTTTTTAGGGCTTAATAATATTGCATTGTATATGTGAACCACAGTTTTCTTATTCCTTCTTCTGTCCATGGGCACTTAGATTGTTTCCATATCTTGATTATTGTTAATAATGCTGCAGCGAACATGGGAGTGCAGATATCTGTATGAAGTGGTGATTTCATTTCTTTTAAATATATGCCTAGAAGAGGGATTACTGGGTTATATGGTAGTGCTATATTTAATTTTTTTAGAATGCGCCATACTGTTTTCCGTAAGGGCTGTAGCAGTCTACCTTCCCACCAACAGTGTACAAGAGTTCCCTTATCTCCATACCCTTGTCAACATTTGTTATCTTTTGACTTTTTGATAATAGCCATCCTGACAGTTGTGAGGTGTTATCTCTTAGTGGTTTTGATTTGCATTTCCCTGATGATTAATAATGTTGAGCACCTTTTCATATACCTGCTGACCATTTCTATGTCTTCTTTTAGAGAAATATCTATTCAGGCATTTTGCCTAATATTTAATTGGGTTATTTGTATTTCCACTATTGAATTGTATGATCTCTTTGTAAATTTTGGATTTTAATCCCCCTCATCAGATATATGGCTTGCAAATATTTTTTCCCAATTTATAGGTTGCTGTTTTATTTTGTTGATTGTTTCCTTTTCTGTGAAGAAGCTTTTTAGTTTGAGGTACTCCCATTTATTTATTTTTGCTTCTTTGGCCTGAGCTTTTGGTGTGATAGCCAAAAAAATCATTTCCAAGTCCAATGATGAGCTTTTCCTTATGTTCTGTTCTAGGAGTTTTATAATTTCTAGTCTTCTTTTTAGGTCTTTTATCCATTTTTAGTTGATTTTTGTTATCAAAGGGTCCAATTTCATTCTCTTGTATGTAGAAATCCAGATTTCCCAACACCACTTATTTAGGAGACTGTCCTTTCCTTGTTGTGTTTCCTTGGTGCTCATATCAAAAATTAGTTGACCATATATGTTTGTATTTATTTCCAAACTTGCTATTCTGTTCCACTTGTCACTTGTCTATGTGTCTCTTTTTATGCCAGTACCATACTGTTTTGATTGTTATAACTTTGTAATATAATTTTTAAAATTGAAACATAATTGATTATAAATATTTGTGGGGTACAGAGTTTATAATATTAATACTTGTATATAATACATGATGGTCAAATCCAGATAATAAATATACTCATCCTTACATAATATAATTATTCTTTGTGACCTTTAACCTATATAATTTTACATTAGGAAGTATGATGCCTCAGAGTTTTTCTTTCTTGGGTTGTTTTGGCTATTCAGAGTCAAAAGATTATTGGCATTTACTGTATTATGTGTAAAGAAGTTAATTTAAGATATACTTTTTGAGATCTCTTTGAGTAAGGTAATTAGCAGAAAAACGGTTCTCCAGATTTTTCAATATTTATTTATTTTGATATGTTCTGGCAATCTAGAATTAAGTTTTATCCCCTTGCCCATTTTTTTTGGGGGGGGGATAAAATCTGTAGATGTGTACCTAGAGTAGAAATGTTTGTTTAGTAGCCCAGTGGTTGTCAACTAGGGATGATTCTCTTTTGCCACCCCCTACCCAAGGACATTTGGCAATATCTGGAGATATTTTGATTGTCACAAATTGTGTGCGTGGGTAGGTGGGGGTGGAAGTGATTTCTACTGACAACTAGTGGGTAGAGGTCAGGGATGCTGTTAAACATCCTACAATGTACAGCATACTTCCCCTACCTACTTCCCCAACATCCACAATGAAGAATTATCTGGTCCAAAATGCCAGTAGTGCAAAGATTGGGAAATCCTGTATTATCCCAAGAATCATCAATTTGCATTGTTTGTAGGAATTTTTGCTTTAAAATTAAAGAACATATCTTATTATTTTGAGGCAATAAAAGTAAAGTCACTTACAACATACAGCTTTATGAGTATGTGAGTAAGTTGCATATACAATGACACCTTAATTAAACCAATGAGAGAAATACAGTAGTACAGAGATTTTCTGGTCTTAGTAATTTAGTGGTGAGAGTGGCAACTGAGAAAAAGGTAGTAATGATTCTGTTTGGGTATAAGCCTGCTGTAACTGAGCAATATCTTAGGGTCAAATGGGAAGAGCTCACTCATCAGGGAGTGGAAAAGGTATTTTCCAAGTGGCAGTTGTATCACCCAGCAGTACAGAAAGATGGGAGTGGCTGACCCTATGTTTAGGAGCTTGCAGGATAAGTCCACTCTCACATGCAGGTATGGAGTATTGAGACATTACTGGTAAGGTGTCTGTTCTGGACCATATGTAACAAATATAAGTTGTCTGGCAATTTCTGAGAAGAGATGGATGGAGCTGAGAATCCAAGGAGACCATGATAGGTTCCAGTTCATAAAGGGGACACAGTACCAGAGAGGAAAGAGCAGCACAGACGAAGAACTCTGCAGAGGGTCCCCCTTGAGTATTCAGCTGAATACTGATCAGTGCATGCATGTGAAGAAACTACCCAAGTGGGGGAGAAAAGCACCCGAAAGGATTAGAAGTAACAGTGCCTGGTGCTAACATAGGGTCAGGAATGGTGCCTGTTCCCAACAGCCAGACTGGAAAACCTCATGATTCACAAGCATTGGTCTCTAAGGGGTATAATTAACCCTAGTCTGAGTTATGCTTTCATATTTTATGTAGAGATCCAAAGTGATCAAACTGTTTTCAAGTAACTTAGCTGTGTCCCAGAACCATGTTCAAAATACTTGTAAGAATACAAGAATATCCAACACCTATCACCACAGTGATAGGAGTGTGGGGTGCACTGGTTGCACAAAAGAGAGATTGGTCTGTTCTACCAGCAGGGCAATATGGGGATGAAAAGTCTGGAAAGACTTTATAGAGGAAATGACTTGAGCTGAATAATCTTAAAGGATGAGTTTCTGGCAGGTTAGAGTATAGTTGAGGACATGGTATTGAAGATAGAGTGACATTCAGTGTCTGTTTAGGTAATTTAAATAGTCCCTTGTAGCTTATATATAGGATGTGAAGGCAAACATTTTGAGAGATTAAGAGTTGGGGACTAGCAGAGGCTACATCTTGGAGGGCTTTGTGTGCTGTATTAAAGACTTTGTATATTTTACCTTAGCTAGTAAGAGGACTCAGGAGTTTTTAAGCAGGGCAAAATTGCCTTGTCAAATTCCTTTTGTGCATTATGTCATTTAATTCTCACAACAAACCTCTGAGATAGGTATATCTAGATGATTAAACAAAGATTAGTAATTTACCAAGGTCACACAGCTGGCAAATGGCTAGACTAATTCTTTCTGACTCTAACGCCTGTTCTTTAAACTACTATTCTATATTACTGCCCAAGAATTGGACTGAAACCTGTATAAGCAGTTAGGAGATCATAATAATCTAGGAAGGGATGGTAGAGTTATAAAGAAGAGAGTATCATTTGAAATGAAGAAAAGAAGACAGAGTAGAAGAGAGTTGAAAGAGTTGGGCTGTGCTTTCTAGTTTTATGTGATAAGTGAGGGAGAGAAAAAGAATCTAAGACCTAGAGTTTCTGGCATGGAAGTAGGTGAAATTGAGGTTCAGAGGGTGTACTCCTGGGGAAGAAGATGATGAGTTTGAGGTTCCTAAGGGACATCTAGATAGAGATGTTCAACAGAAATTAGAAACAAATATGATACTGAGGAGAGGAGTCTAAAAAGGTAGAGATTTGGCAGTTATGAGCATAAAGGGGATCATTGAAGCCAGCAGGGTCTAGGTTCTGTAGAGAAGGAAATAAAAATCAGGGTGAAAGAATGGTGGCTTAGAAAAGGAAGGGGTCAGAATATTAGATGTCTTGCTGCTGTCAAAGAACTGAGTAATATACTAGTAAACTATTGTAGATAATTGAGAGAACTGGAAGAATAGGAGAATGTAGACAAAAAGACTACTATGGTTTAGATTCCAGAGGTAGAATCAATTTCATGGGATAAGGTCTAGCAGTGGGAGTGGTATGCCAACATATGGGAAGGATTTCAGCTGTGGGATTTGAGAATGCTGGGTTTTTTTATATGGGTCATGCACATGGATATTTAAAATCAGTCATGGTGAAACAGGAGTTTGAATGAAAAGAGCATGAGAGAGAGAGCAAGAGGGGCTGTATTTGCTTTTCTAACAAGCCCACTCTCATGATAACTAACTCACTTTCTCAATAACTGCATTAACCCATTTATAAGGGCAGAGCCTTCACCTGTAGAATAATAACCTCTTATTATATACCCCACCTCCCAGCACTGTTGCATTGGTGATTAAATTTCCAACACATGAACTTTGGGGGATACATTTAAACCATAGCATGTAACAATAGAAACCAAAATGAAATTTAAGTAATTTTTAGATTTAATGCAAATGTTTTACACGGTAACAGGAAAGACAAACATTTTTTTTTTTTTTTGTCTTTTTCGTGACTGGTAAGGGGATTGCAACCCTTGGTGTGGTGTCACCCACACTGCGCTCAGCCAGTGAGTGCACCGGCCATTCCTATACAGGATCCGAACCCGCAGCGGGAGCATTGCTGCGCTCCCAGCGCCGCACTCTCCCGAGTGTGCCATGGGGCTGGCCCAGGAAAGACAAACATTTTATAGTGAGTTGTAATTTGCCATAATTGGTGGGTTTTCAGGTAAGCTGTAGAGAAGTAGCAGTAATACTACTATTTAAGTGGCTTTAGTGCTACTATTCATAGAGTTTCTCTTAATTCTGAGATTACTAATTTGTCCTAGAGATATTTCAGAGAAAACCAAATCAAGCCAAAAAACAGCCTTGAGAACTTTTAAGAACTGTGTTATGATGAACGTTTAGGTTTCATTGGCAGATTTTTTTAGAAACATACTGTTTCTTCTTGAGGACAGTTAGTTTAATACAGAGTTTCATATTCTAGAAGGATAGGACAAAGCCTTTTCAATATGGAATGTTAAGCTAATTGGGTATAAGGGATATTTAATTTTAAATTTTAGTAAAGAGGCTAGAGGGTGCTAACATGGGGGTTTCCATGCTCCCATGTCAGATAGGCTCTGATAAAACCCATGTTGCTTAGGCTCTGGCAAAATAGTTGTTTCCTTGAGTGCAGGCCTTTGATTAGGAGAATAGAATACTCTGGACATATTTCAAATTGGTTACTTTTCCCCTCATCCTGCTTGGAAATGAAAGAAAATTTTTCTCCTCAATCTTCACCCTGAGATCCTCGTGGGGTTTCTGGAGGTAAAAGTCATAAATATGAGTGTTGACTTCACCTAGTCTGTGCCCCCAGGAGATTTTATATCTCAAGCTGGTCTACGCTCAAGTCTTTAGCAATTATTCGCTTAAGCTTTAAGTTTTCCTACAAGTTCCTGGTTCCAGTAGTGGTTTTTGTTACTGGCAAGCTGTGATTTTCTGTATTTGCTTGTCTCATTAGTTTTCAGGGTGGCAGTTTGTCCTGGGACTTCAATTTTCTGATGAAACTAGATGAGTTTCTGATTTTCTTTGTTGTGAGGTTGGGAGTGATGGCTTCCAAGTTCTTTATATGTTGGCCCAGACACTGAAAGTCACATCTCCACCCCATTTTTGATGCCCCCTTTGCTTTTAGTATACCACGGTTCACATAGTTACCCTGTAATGGTTATTGAGTTCAGATTCAGTAGTTCTTAGACTAATTCTTCCTGTACTGTGCTGATATATCCCTTTAGTAACAGTTTCTAGAGGCTTATAGTTCATCTTTCAGATGCTTCCATCTGCAAACAACTCCCCAAGTTCTGAAGTGAGTGTGTGTGTATGTGTGTGCCTGTGTTTACTTTAAAAGCAATTTTTTTTGTCTTTTTTTGTGACCGGTAAGGGGATCGCAACCCTTGGCTTGGTGTCGCTCGCACCGCACTCAGCCAGTGAGCGCACTGGCCATCCCTATATAGGATGCGAACCTGCGGCGGGAGCGCCACTGTGTTCCCAAGCGCCACACTCTCCCGAGTGTGCCATGGGGCCGGCCCTAAAAGCAATTTTCTTTTTTTTTTTTT